CAGTGTTTGGACCCCTCTTTCATTCCAAAGGTCAATTCCCTATTTCACAGAGCACAGGAGGTGGTACTACAAAACTTTTGCCCTGAGCCCTCCCATGAATTGGAGCGCAAGTGGCACACCTTAGACGTTCGCAGGGTTTTAAAACACTACATCAAGCGAACGGCACCCTTCCGCAAATCGAAAGCCCTGTTCGTTTCCTTCCACTCTCACACAAGAGATCGAAGGGTCACAGCTTCCACAATCAGAAGATGGATTAGAACAGTGGTTCTCAACCTGTGGGTCGGGACCCCATTTGGGGTCGAATGACCATTTCACGGGGGTCACCAAACCATGCTGTCCGCCATTTTTTTCCCTTTTCCCTAGCTGTCCTACTCCCTCTTATTGGTGGCCACACCCACTTGGGGGTCACCACAACATGGGGAACTGTATTATGGGGTCACGGCATTAGAAAGGTTGAGAATCACTGGATTAGAAGATGCATAGTAGAGACATATAGGGGGCAGTCGTTAGCGGTCCCCAGGCAAATCATGCACACTCCACTCGCAGCGCTGCCACCTCAGCAGCATGGGCGACTCAGGCACCGATTGAGGAAATATGTATGGCGGCAATGTGGTCGTCACCTTCCCCCTTTATAAGACACTACAAGTTAGATAGGTTCGTATCTGTGGAGGCCTCCTTTGGCAGGAGGGTATTCCAATGTGTAGTATCAGAGATTGGGACACAAGCCCAGACTGCTCCCCACCCACAGGGACAGTGAGGCTTTGGTATGTCCCATTGGTGGATTCTCCACTCGTCACGCTGGAGAAGGGGTGTTGGTCTTACCTGAATGCCTTTTCTCAGCATGACGATGGAGAATCCATGCCCACCCTTAAGGCCAGTCAGGTCCTATGAGGGGAGAGGATTAAGCCAACACAAGGAAACGTAGCCAACAGCTTTTGCCTCAGTCGAGACTGGGAAGGGGAGGTCTCAAGAGGAGAGGCAGAGCAAAATTGGCTGACTTGGTCTACGGGCAGAAGACAAGCAAAACCCATTGGTGGATTCTCCATCGTCATGCTGAGAAATGGCATTCAGATAAGACCAACGCCCCTTTTCCATTTATGTTTTATTTTCTTTGTAATTTCTTTGCATGTTAATGTCTTTGCGTATTCCTCTTGAATCATGAAAAGATGCAGTGATTCTGCTCAACCAAGTTTATCAGAAGTTTTACTGTTCAGATTTACTGATGCATGGAAAAAATACTCTCATATATTTTTAATTTTTATAAAAAAGAATTGTTTAAATTCTAGCTAAACTTGTACAATTGCCATTGTTGCTACTTTTGCATTTATTGTAAGTAATAAAGGATGTTTGCTTATTAGTTAATTACTAATATACTGCTGCTGCTGATGTTATCTTTAAAAGTTATGCTTAAATTTTCAATACTTAGTCCAAGAGGATAGGACTGGCATTCCAGTGTTTCAATTGATTATCCCTTATTTTGGTGATATGAGATACAGATAATCCTTAAATTACGAATGTAATAGAGTCTGCCAATTATATTCGTAACCTGAGAATTCGTTCAATTGGATCACGTTAAATGAACATGATCCACCCTGTTTTACCCAATGCATTTGCTAATTGAATGTGCAGGTCATTAAATGCACATGAGGTTTCTTGGGGGGGAAAGACCATGCGGGTAGTGCTGCAACAGGCCACCCAAGGCCTCCCCAACCCATTGAGATACCTCATACTCACAATCCCTTGGGGTTCCCATAGTTGCTTCTCTCCTCCCCCCCCCCATACAGCCCTGCCAGTTCTCCAAAGGCACTTGGCTAGCCTCACCGATTCCACTTGCTCCTCCCCACCCCATTTCCCATAGCTGGCTTACTTTTCGAAGATCTCCAGAGTTCCAGAAGAAGCTGACCCACACGGCAGAAAAGCCAAAGTCTTTTATTCAGATGCTGGTGAAACTGTAAGAATGTGAGATTTAAGGAAAATAGCTTTGCCAGCATCTGAATAAAAGACTTCGGCTTTTCTGCCAGGAGGCCAGCATCCCTGCAGGCTTTGTTTGGATCCAGACTGGGCGGCACCAGCAGCTTCCTGCTTGCTGTTGTCTGGCTGTTTTGAATGAGCAGCTTCAGGGATCGGAGTGTGATGGTAGCGGTGGAAGCCAATCAACATGGAGCTTGCAGTTCAGTCCGATGAGACAAAGGAAACAACCTCTACGTTGATTGATTGACATAGCCCAATCCCTGAAGGCTTCTGGTGCTGCCCAGTCTTGACCCAAATGAAACCTGCAGGATGCTAGCCTCATGGCAGAAAAGCCTATATCTTTTATTCAGATATTGGCGAAGCTGTTTTCCTTAGATCTCACATTCTTAGAGCCCCGTGGTGACGAACCTATGGCACGTGTGCCACAGGTAACACACAGAGCCCTCTCTGTGGGCACGTGCATTGTTGCCCCAGTCCTAGGCCTTTAGTCCCGTCAATGGACAACGTGCATCAATACCCATGCAGAGTAAGGTTGCTGCGCCCGCCCCTGCCTCCCCAAATGTTTTTTTACTAACCTGCCTTTCAGTTGCATTCCATTTCTCCATTCGCTTCTCAGCCTTCGCTGCATGTTTGTGGGACTATCAATAAAAAAAAAAGTTCCATCAGACTTTCTAACTTCTTGCAAGATCTCAAGAAATTAGAAAGTCTGATGGAACTTCTCTTTTTTTTTCCGATAGGCCCACAAACACACGGCAAAGGCTGAGAAGCGAATGGAGAAACGGAATGCAGCTGAAAGGCAGGTTAGTAAAAAAACGCTTGGGGAAGGTGAGGACATCTGGGTGGGGGTGGGTGCGGCAACCTTACCCTGCATGGTGGTGGGAGGGTGGGGCATGTGCCCTTCCCATGCCAAGCCAACTCCTGAAGCCCCAGGGCGGCCATGCTGGGTGGCGGTGGGCAGGGTGTTGATGTGGGGGCCAGCAAGCCGACCAAAGCAGCAGATGGAGCACTGGAGGCTCGGGGAGGGGAGATGCTGAAGTGGGCAGTCGGGCCATTGGCAAGAGCAACGCATCTGAGCAGAAAGCGGCCTTGGGAACAAGTGGGGCAGGTAAAGAAAGAAATCCTCGCTCCCCCCAGAAATTGCCTTTCTTTCCTTATCTGACTCCCAGCCCCATGCCGTTTCTCCTTTGCAATCGGCCGCCAATGCGTGCAAGGAAACAAAGTTTTTTTTGGGGGGGGGAAAGATCAGTCAATCAATTCCATCTTCTCGTAAAAGATTGCGAAGTTGGAATTGATTGATTTACCTTTTTTCCCCAAAAAAACCTTCCTTTGTTTCCTTGTATGCGGCGGTGGTGTCAGATTGTGAAGGAGAAATGGCACGGGGCTGGAAGTCAGGTAAGGAAAGAAAGGCAATTTCTGGGGACAGCAAGGATTTCTTTCTTTACCTACCCCACTTGTTCCCAAGGCTGCTTTCCGCTCAGATGCGTTGTTTTTGCCAATGGCCCAACCGCCCACTTCACATCCTCCCTCCTTGAGTCTCCAGTGCTCCTCCTGCTGCTTTGGTGGCTCTGTAGGCAGATGTGCCTACAGAGCCACCAAAGCTGTAGCTGAATGTGCAGGTGAGGGGGAAACCTGTCCCACTTGTTCCACGGCCGCTTTCAGCTGAGCCACATTGCAGCAGAATTGGGCACAATACACGAGGTGGCAAACAGCTGCGTCACGCTGAAACCGGCTGTTTACCGCCTCCTGCCCAGTGCCGCTATCGTGAGACCACGGAACAAGCCGGGCGATGGCAGGAAACTGGTATACTAGTTCCTTACCTCCACCCGGCTTGTGCCGCGGCCTCATGGCAGCGGCATTGGTTGCGACATGCAAGGCAGAAATGACCGTGGCTGGAAGCAAACAGCCATGTTGCGCCAAAACCGAGGGACCAGCAGGCTGTGGCTGCTGATGGACACAGTTGACCCCCATGCGCTCAATGCGTGCAGGAGCCGATGGTGTTAGGCAGCAGCCACCCCGGCCCCTGTCTCGCCTTGCCTGGCCCTGTGGCAATGGCACCCCTGCCCTGCCCTCTGCCTCGCTTTGCCTCACCCCACAGGATGAGCCTCCTGCCCACCGTCCCACATGCCAGAGACCCCCTGGATCTCCCCAACCCTGCTTGGCCCCCACAGGCATCCCTCCCCAAAAGCAACATTGAGGTGGCCATGCCCACCACGGCCATGCCCACCCAATCTGCTGTGACTACCGCAGCCATGCCCACCCGGCACCCAATGATCCATAAGTGGATTTTGGGTTGTAGTTTGGGCACTCGGTCTCTAAAAGATTCGCTATCACTGTTAGGGCCTCACCAGCGTCTGAATAAAAGACTTTGGATTTTCTGCCATGTGGGGTCAGCCTCTTCTGGAACTCTGGAGATCTTCAAAAAGTAAGGAAGTGGTGGGAAATGGGGTAGGGAGGAGCAAGTGGAATCCGGGAGGCTAGCAAAGCAGGCCCAGTGCCTGTGGAGACTTTGCAGGGCAAGATTGCTGGGGTGAAATAAATAGGGAGCATGTTACAACTTCTCTGCAGTCAGTCGTAAAGGCTGCAACATATACAACTTTGGGACAGGTTGTAATTTTGAATGGTCATTAATTGAACTGTCGTACCTCAAGGAATATCTGTATAGATTTTACCTGAAATCAATAAAATGAACTCAAAAGGCTCTTGTGAATAGATTTGGAGTTCGTGATCAGAATGGAAGTGCAAAAAGTTTTATTGCATGAGTAGGTTGTTTGCATATTATTGGAAAACACTGTTTTCTGTTGACAACAGCAGATATAGAAAATTGGTACTTTTGCAAAACGATACGAGCAGATGTGAAACTGAAAAATTAAAGCAAAATCTGGCTAAACAACACTTTTTCCAATTCATAATAACCATATTTTGTTTAAGTGTTTTTAGGTAGTCATGCAACTTACAGTTTTTAAATGACATTCAGTATATGATATAATCAAATATGGTAAATATTTTGAACAATTTTGCTGTTAAAATAGGTGGTGAGTCAAAGCCTGTCCACTGTTCCTTCACGAAGCCAATGCGTTGATATTGTACAAAATGGAATATGTAAATATCTGGTAGGTACCAATTTGGAATCAATTTATTGTTTCTTATATCATTTATTATGATTAAATATCTCTAGCTGAAGGTTGATTTACAGCCATTTTATTTAAAATATAGTATGTGAATTTTTAAAAATAGTATATGAATGTGTGTGTGTGTGTGTGTGTGTGTGTGTGTGTGTGTGTGTGTGTGTACACCGATTCATTTGCACCCTGATGATGTTGGCAGGAGCCAACGAAAGCTAGGTCTGCTTTTTAAAAAACTTTTAAATGTTTTATATTTAAACTTTTAATGTTTTATAAAACTTTTAATGTTTTAACTTTTCCTGGTGCTCACGTTTTATTTCTTAGTGTATACACACACACACACACACACACATACACACACACACACACACACACACACATATATATATATATTTGAAATGTTACATTTTTATAGCTTCTTTTGACCCAGTAAACTATAATTGCTTATCTATAATAGTAAGTTTTATATGAAATCATTTATTTACTCCTGAGTGTTATATAAATGTATAATCACTATACTGAAATTCTTGTTTTTAAAATGTAAACCTGCCTTTATTTCTAAACATAGTGAAATCAAACAAAATAAAGCAGATTTAAATATAACCATGTAAAATTCTAAACAAATTTTTTATTAATAGCACCAAGATGTCATTCAATTAGTCAGCTAATATAAAAACTTTCCCATAAAGCCAGATTAATAATAAATAATAAGACCTGCAATATGAGTCTCCCTTCGTAGAGCATTCTGCCACAAAAATGGGAGGAAGAGTCTCTGTCCAGTATTTTATTCACCTATAAAAAAATCTGCTTAGAAACTTTGGAGCAAGTTGGAATGACAGCTTGTAAGCTACAATATAATTTGTTAATAATCTGTCTTGATTGTGAATTCAATAGAAAGATGAAACTGTACTCACTGGATTCTGAAATGTGCTAAGTACCTTTTGTACTATTTGATGTTTTGTATAGCTGTCACACCTCAAAAATATTATTCTGCATCTAAACTGCAGTTCAAATTATATGTTGGAAATATTGCTAAATAATGAGTTTTTAATAATGCGTCTAAATCTTCAACAGGTAAAATATAACAACCTTAACAGACATTTGAAATTATTATCATAGCAGAATTCTTCTCTTATGTTTATAAGACACACAAAAAATATTTGTGCTCAAAGATTGTGTGATAATTGTTTATTCTGAAATTATTTTGTTTCTTAGGTAGGACTGACTGTAGTACCTGATAGCACTGCTGGTGTTATTTTGTGTGCTCTTAGTAAACTACTGGATCAAGTATATATCCTTAATGAAAATATTTCCAGGTTCCTAGCTTCATTGTGTTATAGTCTTCTCTACCTTTTCTTAACAATAGAGAGGGAGGATACAGAACATATGCAGAAGAGGTAAGCTTTTTAATTTTATATTTTATTAAAATATTGGTACTTTCCAAGCATCGTATGTTTGTGTGAATATATGTTTTTGTTTATTGTGGCTGAACACTTGTTCAGTTGTACAGGTAGTCCTCCAGCTATGATCACAATTGGGTCCAGAAAACTGGCCATTGAGTGGTGTGGTCATTAAATGAGATGCCACTAGACTGCTTTGCTCAATGATTGCAATCCCAGCTGTCCCAGTTATGGTCATTAGTGGAGTGCCAGGAAGAGGTTCCAGGTCTCCCATCAGACCCTGGGAGAATGATAATGAGAACAATGGTGTTCATTAGATTTGAGGTCCCTTGGCATGCTGGAAGAAATGTCCTCAAATCTGGTAAAAACGCTAGGGAACATCAGCATTCTGGAAAATTTAGAATGCTGGTGTCTGCTATCTTTTTCTTTTCCCCTTGGGCTCAGAACACTGGACTTCACTAGCATTTTCCCCTCTGAATGCTGGCATTTAGAGAAAATACTAACAAACACCAGTATTCTGAAAGGCTCACTAGCATTTTTACCAGAGAGGAAATATGTTCCTCTCCTACAGACGAGGATTTCCTGTTTATGCACAGATGGAGAAAAAAGAACACTTTGGCACGTGGGAGAATGGACTTAAGATCCAATGTTCCAAGAAAGACTTGCAACCTTCCCTGCTGGCGTCTTCATTAATTTTCTGGGGAAGCCAGTAAAGATGGCAAATAGCAATCATTTGATTGCTGGGCACTTGGCAACTGCTTGTAAATATGAACAGGTTGTCCAGCATTCAAAATATGATCATATAACCAAGGAGGATGGCACAATGGAAAGAAGTAATTTATAGATCGTAAAGCACCTATTCCAAGACTGTCTGACTATGCAGGGTCATTAAATGACCAGTTGTAAGTCAAGGATTATCTGTACTTTGACACTAGTGACTGTGGACTTTGAATTTCTGGTGAGGATTTGTATTCCTTTTCTACAATATTCTAAATGTAACATTACATTTTATAAAATTTACTTTAATGTAAATTTTTCTTGCAGGGAATTTAACTTATGTCCTCCAAAGGTAAACTTAAGCAAGGCTTTTGTGTGTTTTTAATTTAGTAATGATCAATACATAATATATTCCACAATTAACTGGGGCAGAAAGCCCCTTTCCCATTTTTAACTACAGCTGTAGGCAAAATGACTGAATTTTTCACAACTGTAAATTAGTAATAAATTATCAGTCCCTTGGAAGTTGTGCAAATAAATTATATCTATGAATTCTTCATACTTATTTATTTTATGTATTTATTAAATGTATATATGGCTGCCCATCTGACTTGCATATGACTGTGGGTTGTATATATAGTTATAGTATAAATAATACCTGTGGTTATTTGCCTGGTTTGAAGTTACTCTTTTCTTACTATAAATCTAGCTAAACTTGTGCACATCTAATCCCCCCCCCCCTTCCTCAACTTCGGTTTCAGGGATGTATTGTGGAGTTCCTGTATCTCAATTCTAAGCACCTCACTTCAAATCTTGAGAGTGATGTTGCAGACTCTTCAAGTGAACCAAGCCTCCCAGGATGAATTGCCTGTTCTTGCTCAGCTTCTTTGTTTGCTAATGCAACATAGACAGCTTCAGACTCATATGAAGACCAATGAATTCCTGGTGAAACAGATTGTCAAAGATATCATGGTAAGGAGCCTATTCTCAGTCACTGGCTACCAAAGCCAAGTTGTAGTCTTATAGAATTGGAAAGTAACAGTTTTTCTAGTCACAAAAAAGGCTGACAGAACTTGGCCCATTAGTCATTAAAGGATAAAGAGTCATTCTTCTCTTCTCTATCATAAGAATGATAGTGGGCTTTCTCCAAAAATCATTTCCATTCTAATCACCAATTCCAGTAAGTAAGGACTTACCATGTTTTCTGCTTCCAAGCTTAGGAAATAGCATTACAATTTCCTGTTCTTATTCCTTCCTAGTTGGGATTGAAGACAAAACTGTATGTTAGCATACACTTTTTAAAAGGTTTATTTTGAATATCTCAAGGGTCTCTTCCTTTTAAGAAGGACGTATTCTAAATTTCTTTTTTCCACTTTGGGGTTTAAAGTTACTATATTAAAAAATAAACAGGAATAGCTATTCTGCTCCCTATCTGTAAAATTATGTAGAGTCTGAATCCCCCTCTTTTTTGTTGAGAGTGTACTTCCTTTTCATCCTTTGTTCAAGCACAACCTTATTCCCAGGCAGGTGTGACAGAGTTTTCAAATAGTAGTTATCTTGAGATTTTCTCCTTCAGAGTGTTTTTTAATCTATTCCCTTCTATTTTTTATTTAACTCTTTAAACTGTACAGCTGTTTAATTGTTTCCATGTACTAATACAATTGGGTGACCTTAAGTAACCCCCTTTCATAATTTCACCACTTGGAATCAAGCTTTCACTTTTAATACCTTAATTTTTTATCTGAATGATAAAAACTTAGATTCTTGCTCCTCTGCCAAGCATCTATTAGATAGTTTGCAGATCTTTCAGAGAAGCAGGAAGATAAAGACTCCTCCCTTAAACTGAACTCAGCCCTCATTCATCTAGTTTCTAGAAAACATTACAGAAGTATTTTATTTTGTCTTCTCCCAATGTGTTTCAACTTTCTAGTGTAGCCTGTAGCCTTAGCATTTCCTAGTGGTCCCCCATCCAAACAAGATCTGACCATGCTTAACTTTTTTTGAAACTCAAGGTCCCTAACAGCTGCCTCTTGCTATAGCAAGTAATAGGGCTTGTATTGGGGGACTAATTATTCCAATGTCTGATAGTTCCAATATCATTAAGTCCCCAAACCATGCTCAGTCCAGAAATTGAACTTAAAGTATCCCTGACAAATATCTCACTCTCTTTCAGTAAAGGAAAATTCATCTACCATTTTAATAACTTTTTATTGTCCAGCTGCTTTTACCATTAGGAAAATTTTCTTCATATGCCATCAGAATTTGTCTCCATAACTTAAGGATGACAGATTGGCAACAAAAGATGGATCCAGTTGTATTGACTATCAGTGATCTCTTGTTAATTTCATTATCTATAGAAGAGAATATATAAAGTTCAGGGTTTAACTGTGGAGTACTTGGTGCTCTCTGAGCTTGGTTGTTTGCTGCAGAGTTTTCATTACCAAACTAAGTAATATCTTCCGTGCACTGAGGATGTTACTGGTTGGATAATGAAACATCTGCAAGCAAACAGCTATGCTTAAGAGATCACCAAGGACTCCACCTTTGTTATCTTTGTGTAATTCTCCATTTTGGAACTAGTGCAGTTGATAACTGTTATATGAAATCCTTCTCTGAATGGGAAACTATATTTCTGTAAAATGAGAAGCCATGAACACTTCATCTGTTATCAAGTCCCCCACATTCTGTCTTTGATCTCCCTTTGTTTCTAAGATTTGTGAAATCTTAATAAATATTACAGACCACACACTTAATATTTTAAATTTAGCTTCCTAAATTTTAGTGGATTACAACCATTTTTGATGATGAGTAAAATTCCATATTACCTGGAATTTCTTTTGACATGTAAACTCAGAAGAAGTGAATAGGATACTTTCTAGGTTATCTTCTGCTACCTGGATCAAACAGTATTCTGTCTGTCCTGGTTTTGCTGTGTGTAACACTCTCTGGAAATTAGTGGTTGTCATTTTCTCTTTACAAATGTGGAAGCTGCCAGATGTGTTAAGAACATAAGACTATAAGTAGTACCAAAAAAAAAAAAAGAATATAAGTAGTACCTTGCGCCTACTGAACCACTGATCCAGCTTTGAGTTCTCAATTGGCCAAAACTAACTGCAAAAGGAATCCTCAAAATATGATCATTATGGAGCCAGCCCATTATGCTCTCATATTACCAAAATTGTTAGGTGAAGCATTCCACCTAATAATTTCCCAATCCCAGCTCTCCCTAATGAATCTTAAAAAATCTGCGGGGGTGCCTCAGGGTGGGAGAGGTCCTTGGAAGCCTAGTATAAGCCCAAGTCCACTTGTCCTGGCCCTCCTAAGGCCTGACACATTCTCCAAGATGCCACTGTTCCACTTTCTGTGACTTGGGTCACTACAGGCCTTTTCCCACTCCCACCAGGTCCCCCTAGGTGTTAGGCCTATTTCCCACTTCATTGCCCAAAGGTCCTCCTCCTCACTTATTGTCTGAAAAGCTCTGAGGCCTTAGACCACTGGAATGGATTGCTTCTTTGCACTACTGTGTGTAATTCCTGAAGCTGCTCCAATTTGTTCTGCCCACAAAATGTTGATTGATTCAGGCACCATCATGTGGCTTGGGGATAAACTGCTTTGTTCTGCTATCATAACAAGGTCTACAGCACTGCAGAAACTTTTTGCGGCATTCAAAAGGATGCTTTCATTTGATTTCTGTGTATAATTTAAAATGCTGGTTCCCCATAAAGCCATATAAAGGCTGTAAGACAACCTTCTCTTACCCGAATAAACCTGATTGTTGTGTGACTTTGGCTGTTTGTACAGTGTATAGTTCTTTATACTCAGGAGGTAAAGAGTGAAACCAGGAGGCCATATTTTTAAGGGCAAACTATCTGGAATAGTCACTGAACAGAGATCAGGTTTATTTCTTCCTTGATGGCCTTCAAGATTTAAAAACTGAGTAGTTTGGGAGAGCAATCTAGTCAGTTAATGTCATCTTTTTTATTTTCCTGATTTATTCATTTATTGTATATATTGTATATGTTAATTATTAAACTGAGTTCTACTAGACTTTTACCCATAGTGATACTTGCACTGACTTCACAGACAGAGGAAAACATTGAAGTAGAATTCCATAGTATTTCCTTTAATTACAAGCATCTGCTTGCTTATATGTAGACAAAATTAATTTGCCTGTTTCTTGGTACGTTGTGTTACAAATACTATAAAACTGAAATGCCTATGTGCCTTCTTAATTTAAAAAAAAAATCAATAACTTTTCTTCTTTGTATTCTAGTTCAGGGGTCCCCAACCCCTGGGCCGCGGCCCACTAGTGAGCCGCCATCTCTTCAAAACCAGGCCATGCAAGCAGTAGACAACCATGTGTATGTGCAGCTCCCCTTGTGTGAGCGGTGGGCATGCACGGTCATGTGCAGCTTCATTTGTGTGCAGTGAGCACATGCACCCATCACTTGTGCAAATGGAGATTCATGAGGTTGCATACACACTACCACTCATTTAGAACCATCCCCTGTCCCCCCCACTGGGCTGCCAAGATGGAAAGGTTGGGGATCACTGTCCTAGATAATTGTATAGGTAGTCCTCGACTTACAACCACAACTGGGACTGGAAACTCAGGTGCTAAGCAATGGGGTTATTAAATGAGTTTGCCTGATTTTACAACCTTAAGTGAATCGGTGTGGTCATTAAACAAATCCAACCTCCCCCATTCCCTTTGCTTGTCTGAAGCCCTTGGAAAGGTTGCAAATGCGTGCTAAGTCTAAAATGCTGCAACTGTTGTTCATTCATGCTGGCTGCCAAGTGTCTGAATTTTGATCATGTAATTATGGGATGCTCCTATAGTTGTAAATGTGAAAACTGGTCATAAGTCACTTATTTTGTCAGATCTGTGTTTTAATGCAGCCTACCACAAAATACGGGGAGGGAGAAAGGGAAGATAGTGAGGGGGGATGACAAGAACCGGAGGTGTCATCCAGAGATAACAGTTGAAAGATCCAAGGACACAAGCCTGGGAATGGAATGCAAAACAGCCATCCAAAGAGGCACCAAAATATGGAACTATTATTACTAAGACACCTAATTTGAATCTTATTGGACACTACCAAGATGACTAAAGGGGAAGGGACCGAGATAAGGGAAATTACTAGGGTTACGCAGGAAATCCTCAGATCTGGCTTTGCTATGCTATAACTACTTGGCTTCAGTAAAAGTATACCCTTCACTACAAGTGGAGTCTAGGATCTTTCTTTCCTGAATGTCCAAGTTGGGACAGGCCTGACAGTATTGTCATAAATTCAAATAGTTGTTAAATGAATGGTAGTAAGTCATAGACTACCTGTATCTTACATTTGTATCTACATGAGTTATAGAAATGAGAAACATTTTCTCCTTTAAAAAATAATTCATTCAGATGCATCTTTGGTTAAATATTTCAAGTAATCATTATGTTTTTTGATTCACAGGTCTTGAAAAGTGATGAAGCTCAAGAGCAGTGGTTGACAGACCTCCATTACAATTTCAATATATATTTAGCCACTCATACCCCAGGATGTGGGGCAGTCAATACACTATATTAAAGAGAATACATGATTGCAAACTCTTTGTAGGAACAAAAAAAGTCATTTTTGTGCAAATTAAAAATGCATTTATACAATCTATGATTTGTGTAAAAACTGTTACTCTTTACATTTGCTATGAAGATTTAAAAGTTACATGAAATAAAATGAAGTAATACAATAGCTTAAAGCAAATAAACAGAAACATATGCAACTGAGAAACATATCAAGAGAAATTTTATATATTGTGAAGAGCTGGGGACAGTTTAGTTGTTATCATTAAATACTTGCTTAAATCTCAATATTGTGCAGCTTAATATATTAAAAAAGTACAGATCATTTTTGTTGTCCAAGCCGGTTGGTTGGTTTCAAAACATTTCATTAGATAACATCTTCAGCAGAGTTTAGGGGGTGTCATTGTCAGTGTTCTTCTGTTTATAAGGGCTTCAGGTGTGGATGTGTCAAGTGAGGGTCTTTTGAGCTTATAGATCATTTAAATAAAAGCACTGGTGAAATTACATTAAAGATACTTTAAAATGTCCACAAATAATCAATAGGCTCTCTTATGCTATAGTGCAGTCTCATTTTCATGGCTGAATCTGGTGTGTTTTGCTTTCATTATTGTGGCAGGTTTCATATTGTACGAAAAATGTTTATATTTCCCTGAATTTTCCGATAAGCAAATATCTTGCAATCCGCCTGCTGTAAAAGAAGCATAAAGTTATTAGTGCTTTTGTTCAGTAAGGACTCAAGATAGTTGATTTTCTTTCTGTATTAAACATAAAATAACGTAACTTCAAAATTCTATTTTATGTAGTTGAAGACCATTAAATGGCAAATGTACTCTTAATTTTTTTAGAGGACTCCTGTGTCTATAGCTGGCAGCTATTATCTCTACTATGTTCTGTGGCATACTTCAGCTCTACCATTTTTATATAAATCTGCTTATATAAATCTGTTGCTTTTTTTAAAAAAATCAGTATTCCTGTTTTGTCCATTGAGAGGTATTATAAAAGGGAAAACAAGGGATAACTTCAAAATTGATATAGTAATGCTTAAAAGTTTGTGATTTTTTTTTTGAATTTTCCGTATTTTAGCATAAATATGACATAAAATGTGATCTATCAAAAATACTACACTTGTTCATTTATTTAGAAAAATGATTCAAAGCTACATATTTGTTTTGGTTTAGGGTTTTGGGGAAAAGAGATGAACCTCTAGGTTATCAGTTCATTTGAAAGAGGGTGTTTCCATCAATAAAATAACAATTGGGTGTGAATGTAAGAGACCCCATCTTATTTGAAGAACAGACTTTTGGGTGTTTGCTGTCAAAGTCTGATAGTGGTTCTTATTGCTCAAAAATAATTTATGGAAAACTGAAAAAGCTAAAAAAAAGTTTAGAAAATGTTTGAACTCCACCAGTCCATTGTCAAGCAGATTGTATAGAAACAGAAACAATTCAACATCATTATTACCAGGAATGGTCTAACATCAATTTTGGGAAGAATAGCGATGGTGAAAATGAATATTTTACCAAAACTACTTTTCCTATTCCAAACAATACCTATAAAATTAAATAATTTTTTTAAATGAATTAAATTCATTGATTTTGAAATTTATCTGGCAAGGGGGAAAAGCCAGAATAAGTCTGAAATTGCTACAAAGAAGCGAAAGAATAAGTCTGAAATTGCTACAAAGAAGCGAAAGAAAATGGAGGATTTGGGCTATCAGACTGGATTCTATACTATCAAGCAGCTGTATTAACATAGTTTAAAAAGTGGATAACCCTTAGACTCAAAAGACTACTATACCTAGAAGGACACGACCTACAACTTGGATGGCACGCTTTTCTATGGTACGGGAAGAACAAAATCCATAAATACTTTCAAAATTACTATATAAGAAATGCCTTGCTTTTGACATGGGAAAAGATAAAAATGAAAATTTATATGAAAATACCAGGATGGATCTCGACAATGAAACGTTTCTGCACCCAAATTTAATCAACTATGAGAAATTTGTGACATATAGAGACATTTTGAATACTGATGGGAAATTATAAGCTAAACAAGAACTGGAAGAACAGGGCATTGAGCTATCATGGTGGCCATACTTGCAAATGCAAATGAGATATGAAAAATATGCTAAAATATATGGTTTTTATAAAGATCAAAGAGGGTTTGACCAGATATTATTGTCATCAGATGAAAAACTGATCAAGAAACTATAAATTTTTGTTAAACCTGAAGATGGAAGACGAATAAGTTAAAGAAACAATAACTTGGGCAAAAAATTTGGGCACAATGTAGAACTAGAAAAATGGCAGAATTTATGGGAAAGAAACTATAAAATAACAAGGGCAGCTATTTATAAAGAAAATCTATATAAAATGTTTTATAGATGGTATGTACCACTTGCAAGATTAGCAGGATGAAGACTCCAAAAAGTGACAAGGAAAAAAAGTTAAAAGAGTGTCTTGTGATGGTTTTCTTCCCTGAGAGAGGTGGGGGGACATGGGGGGAGCCTCCTGAGCCCCATAGCTCTTCCGAGGAAGGAGGAAGAGAGTGGGAAGGAGCTGTGCTGGGATTGGGGCTCGTGCCTTCCGCTGCCCTCCTGCGCTCTTCTGCCGCAGATGCCACAGCTGTGCTTGCCTGGCAGGGGATGCACATGGGCTACTCCCTCACTTGTCATGCCAGGGCTAGGCTGGATTGGGCTGGGCGCAGACCCTCTTTGCCGCTTCTTCTCCCACAGACATCGGGAGCATCTACCCCGCCTATCCTTTGTCCTGGGGCAGCTGCCTGTCTGGTGCTCGCCAGCCAGTGGCCAGCCAGCCAGGCATGCCAGGATGCCTCCCTTCGGGATCCCTCGGCCTCTCCACCCCCTTCAGGCTGGGGCTGGTCAGATTCCCACCATTGGCAGTGCTGCGCCTGTCCCTGACCAGCCCTCCTCCATCCTCCTCCTGCAGGCAGATCAGGGCTTACTGAGCTGAGTGGCGCTTCTCCCTGCCATGGCTCTCGCTCCCCTCTGGCCTCCATCTGCCCGAGGCTCAAGCTCAGCATGCCTGGCTGGCTGGTGACATGCTGAAGAGCGCAGGATGGCGGCAGTTGCCCTGGGATGAGGGGAAGGTGGGGTGAACGCTCCCAATGTCTGCAGGGGAAGAAGCAGCATGGAGGCTCTGCACCCAGCCCCAGCACGGTATGGAAAACAAAGCAGCAGCCCCATGTGCATCGGACCCAATCCTTGCAGGGCACCCTTCTTCCGCTGTCCCAACCCGGTTCCTTACTTCCGTCCAGCTTGTTCTGTGGCCTCACGGCAGTGGCATTGGGCAAGAAGCGGCAAAGAGGGCTTGCTGAGGATCAAGCCGTATTTGCCGCCACTGCCGTCTTCGGAAACAGCGATCAGTGAGGCCTCATCACGGGAGAACTCGGGGAAGCTGGGGTCGAGCCCTACGAAGCCCACCTTCTTGCCCGAGCTGCCCAGATACATGCCTCTGTTGCATGACTTCTGCAGCGGTGGCACAGAGGCCAATTGCAGGTGCAAGTGGGACACCCACATAGGGTAGAGGTGCTGCCCGGGGCCAGAGTGGAGCCAGGTGGGACTACGGGGTGCGTGCAGCAGCGGTGGTGCAGAGGCCGATCGCAGGCACGACAGGACAGCTGCACAGGACAGAGGCGGAGCGGAGCTGGGTGGGATTGTGGGTACCACCACCAGCGGCACAGAGGCCAATCACAGTGGCATAGCTGGGTGGGGCAGCGGCGGCAGCAACAGCTGGGTCACTTTGGCCAAAGTAGCATCGGCGGCAGTGCAAAGGAGGCGAGGAGTGGCGCCCGCAATCTGCCTGACTTCCCCTACACCTGCTTTGCGCAGCTCCTCCTGGGTCCCCTGCGCCTGCCGTTAACCCTCCCACCACCAGGCAGGGTAATGTTGCCAACCCTGCCCCTGCCCAGATGCCCTTGCCTCCCCCAAGCATTTTTTTACTAACCTGCCTTTCAACTGCATTCCGTTTCTTCATTCACTTCTTAGTCTTCGCCATATGTTTGTGAGACTATTGGTAAAAAAAAAGTTCCATCAGACTTTCTAACTTCTCACAAGATTTCACAAGAAGTTAGAAAGTCTCATGGAACTTTTTTTTGTCCCACAAAATCTTACCATGTGTGGCTTTGGCAAATGTTTGGTGGGGGAGGGAAGCAACAGGCCCTGCCCCACCCCTCGCATTAAGTGCCCTGCTCCCACCGCTCCACCCCCCAACACACACAAGCACCTTTTTTCAAGGTCTGATGCATCACTTCCTGTGCTGCTGTGTGGGACTCAAAATAGAGTTCAATCAAGCAATTCCAACTTTGTGAGATCTTTTTTTTCCCACGAGAAATTGAAATTGATTGATTGAACCTTTTTTTTGCACACGGTGGCAGAGGTCTAGGACTGGGGCGACAGTGCACATGCCCACAGAGAGGGCTGTGCGTGCCACCTGTGGCATGCATGCCATAGGTTCGCCACCCTGGCCCTAAAGCAAAAAAATATTGGTCCAAAATACACATGTGGTTACAGAAAATATGTAATTTTAAGCCAGAACTATTTTTTCTAGGTATAATTACAGAGAACTATGACAAAAATGTATATATTTAATATTACATGTATTAACATCAGCGAGAATTACATTTGCACAATATTGGAAAAATGAAAAAACACCATTGGAAAAAGTCATAATCAGGAAAATTTTGGATTGTGCGGAAATGGACAGGCTTACATTGAAAATAAAAGGGAAAGAAGATACAGAATATTTTCAAACATGGAATCTTTTATAAATGGCTAGAAAGCCAGAGTAGAGAGTAGAAATGGAAATTTTATTACTATTAATATCAAATATGTGAACCCAGACAACATGTTGTTTATTAAGCACCAAATATTTGTAACTATAAAAACTTAATAAAATATCTATTAAAAAACTCTGCATAGACAAACTGTATGCCAAGTTATCTAAATGTGAGTTTCATAAAAAAAAAGATTGATTACCTGGGATATCGAATCTCCCATGAGGAAGTCAAAATGGACATGGTGAGGGTGTGTGCGGTATTGGAATGAGCACCTCCCCAAACCAGGAAGCAGCTGCAAAGGTTCCTGGGATTTGCCAATTGTTACTGGCAGTTCATCCCCCCCATTTGCTCAAATAGTCCTCCCCATCATCAACTTGCTAAAAACAAAAGGTGTAGAGGGGGGAAAACCAAAACCCAGACAACCCTTGAAATGGACTATGGAATGCCAGGCAGCATTCAAAAAGCTTAAAATACTGTTTTCTGCTGAGCTGGTGCTGAAACACCCAGACCCAGGAAAATCTTTTGTCATCCAAGTGGATGCCAGCAATGTAGTGGTAAGGGCTTTGCTGTTGCAAGAGAATAAGGAAGGAAATCTGCCACTGTGTGTGTACACATCACAGAAGCTAACAAAAACAGCAACGTGGACAGTGTGGAAAAAGGAGGCTAACTAGATGGGCTCTCCTTACATGGAGGCACTTCCTAAAAGGTAGCAAAATCCCATTCCAGGTCTGGACTGATCACAAAAATCTGGAAGTTCTGACCCCCCTCCCTGAAAATTATTTCCAAAACAAGCACCGTGGGCTCAATACTTCCACCAGTTCAATTTCACCCTGCACTACCTACCAGGGAGAAAAAAGTTCTTGGTTGATGGCTCAAGTCAAAGTTCTGGAGAGCTTTTCTGGACCTCTTAGGAACTGACCAAGGTCTCAGTTCTAGTCACTGTCCTCAGACAAATGGCAGGACAGAATGTTACAACTCAGTACTGGAGCAGTACCTGCACTGTTTTATTAATTAACAACAAGACGACTGGAGAGGCTTCTTGCCATTTGCTGAAGTGGCTTATAACAACTCTGTGCATATTAGCACAGGTTTCTTGCCTGTGCTACCAGGAGCCCATGATACCCTCTTTGAAAGAGTGGATCAATCAATTAAAAAAATATGTGACCATGGTACGCAAAGCCTTAGCAGATGGCTGGGCAACGTATAAAGCCCAAGCTGACAAAAAGAGAGTTGAATCTAACCTTTGCATGTTGGGGAACGTGTATATTTGTCACCCAGTTCCTACAGTCTCTACAACAACCAAAGAAGTTAGGACCAAA